ACATTTAAAGCATTTTAAGCCTTAAATCACTGGAAGGATGAAAGGCTTAGATTTACATTGTGTGAAAGTAAAGTAAAAGAGATTTTAGTGTCGCAAAATTTTGTAAACATTATGTATAACAAAATTTTAAAAAAAATAAAATAAAAAAAATCACAACTACAGGTAAAGTCACGACTCACATTACCAGAATTTTAGTGGCTGATGAGGATCTACATTACTCCTGTCAAACTTATCTAATGTAGTTATTAAATGTTTCAGAAAGGCAACCTTTAATTACTACGGAAAAAGTCAAAAATTCGGGAGAGATGTTCAGCATCAGCAAACCTAATGTTCAATTCTGTGTCAAGTCAAGCCAAAGATTTCTATATCAAATTTTAAATAAAGAATAATAAAAAAAAACAACAACAGGTGACCAAAATGCTATTATAGATTTCAGTTTGTTTTTGATTACAGGAAATTGTCAAACACACCTGTGCCTGTATGTTAGAAGCAGCTCCCCCAGTTGAAGTACGAACTTTTGATGTTTTGCTGAGCACCTTTTTCTGTTGCAGAGCCATGCTGTATTTGCAGGCAGCGTTGCGATACTCTTTGTCATGGAAGATGGCATCAGCATGGTAAACCAGCAGCTGGTACTTCTGAGCCGGCGAGAACAGCTCCCTTCCATTAAAAACACACCAACAATTAAGTGCTCAGACTGAGGAAAACCATTAAAACTGAATGACACACGAAGAAACATCAATGCAAAACTCATAAAAATTGTCCTACATAGCTACAGTTTTTAAGTCAGTCACTCTAAAGTGTCAAAAGTATGAATGGGTAAGACAACGACAAGTTTTCTAATACAATACTAGTTAAATTTCAAGCTATTTCATAGTAGCATTGTTAAGCGCATACGCTTGTAGATGCGACTATATCGTGAAGGAGTACACGCACTGTACTGTATATAATTTAAATTGCACTCGCATTTAAACACTATCCAATAATGAGTGGATAATGAAAAGCTTCGGTAGAAATAATAATGTTAGCTGATGTTGACTAGTTAGGTTGGGGCTATCGCTACCACTGGTGTGGAAAAGCAGTCTTCGGGAATTAGACGGTTCCCGCTCAGACACGACTTACGGATTGTTGTTGCTCATCGTCAGCAACAAACTACTCAAAATCCGGACATTAGAGTAAAGGCCTGCTGCAGCCATATCCCGCACATAATCTATTACATTCATTTTGGATTATTTGAAGGGCTCGCTGTAGGTTTCCGGCTCAGGTTAAAAGTTTGGGCTCTGGAACGGCTAATGTTAGCTAGCATCTGACGCATAAGACGTCCAACGGCTGACCTTCCTTCCGCATAGTGCTGCGTTTAAATGCTCTTCAAAAGCTCGTATATTTTCAAAACTTTGAAATAAAAACCTGCCTGTGAAATCTTTGATGTTGAGTAAAATAAGTATTTTATCGACTTTACTTTTATCTTAGGGACGTTAGATGAGAAGTTACATTTTACGAAATATTTTACAGACCAAGGCGTCTTTATTTAATTATTCTAAATTTATCGAATCGCACATGTCGCGATACCTTTGAATGCATCATGTTTGTTTTTGCTGCAGCAGTTTTTAAAATAGTTGGAAATTTTTGTTTCAACTATTGACTTAAACAGTCGTGTTTTATCAAATCACGCTATTTCAAAATTCTGTAATAAAAGTGTATGATATAATTATAATATATTAAAACAGTTTACATTATCGCTAATCTAATATTAAAATATGAGTCAAAAACTCAGGTTTCAGACTACCCTATATGCTAATTTTGAGATAGTGGATGAAATATAATGAAGGTAGCAGTGAGCCCCACTATAATACAAATAAAGATTATTTTGAACTCTTAATGGAGCTGGAAACAAGTATAACAGGTCCTCTTTAATGCACAAGATCAGCTGATACTAGGTTTGGGGGCCCATATGGTGATACACATATTTAGTAAGGATTGTGAGCTTAATATATCATCAGATTTTTTTTTAGATGTGTACACATGGTAGCTTATTAACTTTCCAGTAGTGGATTTCAAAATATTATTTGAAATCCACACATATGGTTTTCATATGTGCCTGTTTTCAGTGAAATCAAGTTTAATAGCAGGAAATCCATCTCTGCCATCTTTTTCTAGTAACCTATATTGACAACAGCATAATAAAACTGGAAATTTTGTTTTTGGTGTGCTACCCCAATATTTTAGTGGTCCCCATATGGCTACCCTTTTAAAAATATTCTGAAGTGCCCCTGCTTAAGAGTTGTCTATAAAGATACGACTTGAATAAGCATTGTTACTTGGGTGAACTCAGGTAAACTGGGACACCTTTGGTGTTGTGTTGAGGTGATGTTTTACATTATAATTGTTCAGGCACTGCACTTGTTTGTGTGATCACGTGTTGAGTGTAAAAAGGGCAAGTGAAAGGACAACATGAAACAGAGATAACTGGGTGAATTTTAAGATAATTTTAATTGAACATAACAATGTAACGTTGCATTTCAGTTGCATTAAACTGCCAAATGTTACTTGCTGAAAGATGCTCATACCTAATTTTGCTGACTTAATCCAGGCAATGAGCCGCCACTACGTCTAAATGATGCTCATCAAAAAAAAAGTTTGCACATCGGTTCCCCCAACCAATATTTAGGTTGGACTGAGACTGCCAAAACCACAACCTAATAGACTTCAGTAAGGCTACAAACCACACAACAATAACGATAATAAACTGTACAATAAACAACAATCAATCAGTGTAAATAATCACAAAAAGGTGTCTGTGGCACATTGGGGGAATGGCCCTCCCGAATGTGAAGTTGTATAATTTAGCTTTTGAATTGTCAAGACTGGCCAAATACTGGACAGGATCGGGCTCTGAGCTGAGCTGGATGAAGATCGAACGGGAACTAGCGAGCCCCTTCACACCTTTGGATGTTCTCTCGCAGGGCGCGGCAACTAATGGACAAGACTCTCATGATAACCCAGTGCTCAGGTATTCCAAAGCTGTCTGGGTGGAGGTGCACAAGTTATGTGGAGCATCTCATCTAAGACAACCTTATGCCTCGCTATGGAACAATATTGCTGTAAGGATTGGGCGGAAAACTGTGTTCTGGAAGGAATGGCTTGTCAAAGGCATACGCAGGATAAGTGATCTTTACTCAGGGGGAGTGTTTATGTCATTTGCTGAAATAACCCGAAAATACAGTTTGACAAGAGAAAATAATTTTTGGAAATATTTACAAATAAGGGATTGTGTTACCAAAGGAAAATTTGCTCAAAGCTCGAATATGGTTGTGGAGTTTTTAGAATTGTCCAGTACAGCACATAGGGCGGCGGTTTTCTACAAACTGTTTAACAATCCAAAAAAAGAGATATGTGAAAACTTGAGGGTTATATGGCAGAGGGATCTGGGTTGTGCAATTTCTAAAGAAGACTGGCGCAGAATTTTGTCATTCTCTGATAAATATATAAGAGAGGCCAGGGGTAAATTTACTCAGTATAAATTAATACACAGGTGGTACTTCACTCCATCCAAACTTTATAGAATGGGAATTAGTCCCAGTAATGTATGCTGGAAATGTAGTTCAGATCCAGGGACATTTATACATGCTATTTGGGAATGTGGGAAAGTTTATCCCTTTTGGCAAAAAGTATTGGACAAAATAGGAAGGTGGATTGGTTTGATGATACCCCTGTCACCAAGACTGTGCTTATTAGGGGATCGGTCAGTATTACCTGGGGTTTCAAAATATGACTTTGTGGTTATAAAGGTGGGGGTGATCGCAGCGGCTCGAGTTATTCTCAGTGTATGGAAGGAACCGTCTCCTCCAGAATATAATAGGTGGAAAGAAACTATGCTGAAAATGGTGTCGTATGAAAAGCTCTTGGCTAGGATTAATGATGATAGGGAGGGTTTTGACAAATCGTGGGGACGTGTTTTTGGCTGAGATGGTTGAAACTTATTTGGTCAGGGCAATTATCTTTAGTCATGTTGTACGCTTGCTGCACTGTTTGTTTGTGTAGGCACTCAGTAAGGGAATGACTTAAAGATTTGAGTTAACTGATTTGAGTTTTTTTTTTAATTTTTTTTTATTATTATTATTATTATATTTTTTATATATATATATTTTTTTCCTGTTGTTGTTTGTTGGTTGTTTTGTTTGTTTTCGTGTTGTGAAATGTTAAAAACAAATAAAGACTTCAATTATTAAAACAAAAAGGTGTCTGTGGCTATTTCAAAAGAGAAAACACTCACTAACAATCATAGTCTCCCTGAGAACTGACATCAGATGGGGAATCCAAATGGTGATTTGGTCGGGGGTGGGGTTGGTACACATTTATGAGCCAGTGGACACTCTTTCAATGATGAGGATGTACACATCCTGGACAGGGAGGAACACTTGAGCGGAAGTCAAGAAGGCCATTTACGTGAAAAGAGAAAGACCATCTCTGAACTGAGGAGGGGGCCTAAAGGGTACTTTCACCATCTTACAATGCTGTGATTGCAGCCATTCCCCAACTCTCTGCGAATGGTACTTATGGCTATTAATCAATGGGCTTCAATCAATGGTCATGACAATTTGCATATTAATGATCAAGGAATTGACCTCACAGCCCATTGTTCATTCCGTGGGCTGGTTTCAGTCATTGTGCAACTGTAGTGTTTATAAGGTTCGGGAATCCTGCAGTCAACTGAGACAGAAGAAGTGGATGGATGACGAAACGTTTCTCCCACTGAAAACGCTAAGTCCAGATGAACAGAATCGACCTTCTGCGACATTTACCAGTCTCATTACGCTACAGTCTTATTGAATCAACTCTACACATCTCTCCACGAACGCATTGGCGAATTTTGAATTTTGATTTTGCTGCAGTACAAGACTGATACAGTTTTCCAGTTTGTTGCTTGTTGATTTGTCTTGATCAAATGTTGCTTTGAAGCCACGCATAAACACAGTCGACCGCAGGCGCGCATGCGTACAGCTCAGGCTTGTGTCAAAACACAGAGGGAAATCAGCAGCAGGCACGGGCAGTACTAAGATCTTAGCTCGGTTTGTTCGGGTTTAGCTCTTCTCTTCGTAAAGTGTTTGTCTACACGGAGTGCTTTTTTTCAACTGCGCGGGCATACCATGACCGAACAATCAGCATTGCTTCTTCGAAAACAACTGGCAGGTAATAATAATGTAAAACTAAGCAAATAGAGCCGACATAAAGGCTCTATACCTTAGCAGCTAACGTTAGCTTTTTTGTGGCTTGGCAAAGCTGTGTTTACGCAATAGAAGTAAGCTCAGAAAGGTAGCCGAACAGCATAATGGGTTCCTTTATCAGTCTAGCTGAGTGTGTGGCTAAGCAGCTTTGAATAGCTTACCTGTGTTGTGAATAAATACATAATTTTGAAGTATACTGAGCTCAAAAACACCTCAAACAACACATTGCAGGACCAGTCTAGCTAGCATTTGCTAGCAAGTTGGGCATTAGTTAGCTAACGGAACAAAGGAATAATCAACCAGACACTCATCTGCTCTAAACACTTTAGCATTGTTAATGGTAGCGCTGTGCACCGCAAGGATTTCATAGATCTATATACCAATACATTAGTAACCGCTTGATTGAAATTACAAATCCATAATATAGCCATTTAAGATACAATCTAACGTTTCTGATATCAAATATGGCCCAGAGTCTAACGCGGGAGGCAATCTATATTAGTATTCAAGCCCTCAATGCTGAAACTCTTATCGTTCTCCTTTTGAAGTCTTTGCAGAGACATAGTTGATTTTATTGCTGTTGTGCCCTGTAAATGACACATGGATCTCACGAGTCTTTAAAACCTGTGGTATAAAGTTTGGTTTGCAGCTGCGTGACTGTCCAGTTCCTTCAGTTCTCATCTTTTAAAAGTAAACCAATACCTCAGTCAACACTTTGCTATATGAGGTGCAGCTTTTCATTTAATGACTTTAATGCTGTAATTCAATTATAATTTACCCGATAGGATAGGGTAAAAGAACTTAATGCAGCATTCAAGATCAGGTGATGAAATCTGTCATGGATCACTAAAAAACAACATCGTGCAGTCTTAATCATGTAAATTATATTAATTCAGTGTTAATACACTGCAGTCAAACTGGTCCATTTAGCTAAAGTAACACATTTTGTGAGTTCAGTTTCAGCACATGACAAACACAAGTGCTATGTATGTTTGTATATAGCATGCCGTATTAACATGACAGCATCCAGTTACACAAGTGATTTGGGATTTTGCACCAGCTGACCATCACATACAAATATTAGTTACTCTGTGTGTGGGGAATGAATCATTGACAGTGTTTGATGCAGTTTTTCTTTTCAAGTCAGTGATTCATATCAGCAATCTTCATTATTTTTGGACATCACGATTAGATTCTGTAAACAGGTTGTTCAAATGAAAATTTATGGATTTTCAGTTTTTGCTCAACTGCGAAGTAAAGGTTCATCTATTGTCTTCCCATAGTTCCCATGTTTGTATTCATTTTATTTGTTTAGCCATATTAGGGCCATATTATCACCTCTCAATGACATAACACAGAGCTAAGAGTTATTAAAACCCCCCCCAAAAAAAGCCAAAGACAACTGTCTGAAACGGAGCATTTAAATCAGTGTGAACCCTTGTACATATGCTGACATAATTTGGTCATCTTTATTATGAATATATATTATATATGACATCAAATGAGGAAAACCACAGGTCAGTGGTCAAGTAATTATTCCTGTTATATTTTTCGAAGACTTCATCAAGTCCTTTCTGTGGGCTGTATGTGTTGTTGGTGCATTGTATTGTAGATTTTCTGTGGACGTCCACGCTGTTACAAAAAATTGGCAGGACTCTAGCATGCTTACAGACACAAAGTATAATTAAGGCTTTAAAATGAATGGATGTGGAAAGTAATTTTTCTGTTTCTTCAGTCCTTAGCAACAGACTGCTCCCATGGAACCAGAGTGTAAGATTGATCTATTTCCTATAAGACCAAGGTTAAAAGAGTGCTTCAAGCACATGCCATATTGAAAAACTGAGATATTCATCGTGATGCCTTGTGTGGGTCGGTTTCTCAGTGGCTCGGGAAAATTCAGTTAGCTCAGTTGAGTGTATATAGTACTTGTTGCTGATTCATTTTTAGTCACCTGCTCTTTGTGAATTCACAGATGTCAGATACTTCCCACAGTGAAGTGTGTCAGCATCAGTAAACAAAACATGGGTAAAGAGCTTGCGGTTTACATGATATCCACCAAATCAGTGTCTGGGACTCCAACACAGATTTATTTTCCTCTGAAATTATGTGCCATGAGTTTGTCATAATAGTTTATTTCTGCTGGGTTTTATTTACTCAAGTTTGTTGACCTAAGTGAAAAACCAGAGCTTGGTTACCTTGTCAGCTGCATCATGTCAGCTTATGTTTTCTATTAAGCTGCTACCGCTTTTTTACCCCCAGTCTCTTTTACTTGTGTACTGTTGATGTCAGCTTAACTGATTGTTATGATACCAAAATTCTGAATATCCAGAGATACTTTTATAACACGTAGTAAGAGTAGGGGTCTGTCAAAAAAATATGTTAACACCGTGGATGTTGACTTCTCTTCTATTTCTAGTGATAGGCCTTTCTGTACTACAGTTCTGTTTTCACTTTGCTACTGAATAAAATACACGTTGTGCCTCTGTTTTTCCCAGAGCTCAATAAGAACCCCGTGGAGGGCTTTTCAGCTGGTCTGATAGATGATGATGACATATATAAATGGGAAGTTGTGATCATTGGTCCACAAGATACCCTTTTGTAAGTAAGGTCTTTAGTTGACATATTCAGAAACACAAAGGATGATTTAATTCAGTCATTTGACAAGTGTTTGTCCTTTTTCCCCCTGTATTTCTCACTGCAGTGAAGGAGGGTTTTTCAAAGCATACCTAACCTTTCCCTATGATTATCCACTACGGCCGCCGAAGATGAGGTTCATAACTGAAATCTGGCACCCAAACGGTAAACCCACTTCTTACCCTTTGATCCTTTTACTCACATAGTCTTCTTTGCCATCACTTGATCCCTGCATATAAATAGATTTATAAACTCTCTTTTACTGAACAGATCCGTGCGACTGACTTGAAAGTGTAATCAAAAAATGTGTGAAATTCGTCTCCACAGTTGCAAAGAACGGCGATGTTTGCATCTCAATTCTGCATGAGCCAGGAGAAGATAAGTTTGGTTATGAAAAGCCCGAAGAACGCTGGCTTCCGATCCACACGGTAGAGACAATCATGATTAGTGTTATCTCCATGCTCGCAGACCCCAACAGCGACTCACCAGCTAATGTGGATGCTGCGGTGAGTTATTTATGTCATTCTTCAAATGCTGGAAGTCCCACCTTTTTATTTGAGCAGCTTAGGTAATTTGAGAAAGTGTGAGTAAAAGAATCTGGTTCTCCTTTCCTACAGAAAGAGTGGAGGGAGGACCCTAATGGAGAATTTAAGAGGAAGGTGGCTCGCTGTGTAAGAAAAAGTCAAGAGATGGCATACGATTAGGAGTCAGCTGTAAATTCCAGGGTAAGCAAACTGACCTGCTGAGTAAGATTTGCATGGAATACCTTGCTTCTGTAAGTAATAACTTCATTCTTTATTGCAGTTAAAGGAAATGCCTTCAGAGGGAAAGATTCAGCAAAAGGCTTTTGCACCCCTTGTTTTGCCAGTCAAAGGAGTTGGTTGGCTTCAACCACGTTTTTGTGAACGGTTGTCATTTTCCGCCAGACGAACCAATTTGAGAAACCTACCAGCAAAATTATCCTGTTTCTTACCTGGAATTGTATATTTAATTTAATTTATTTTGAGAAAAAATAATGATGTAAAATATGTCACTACTGTAAATTAACTTCCTTTTTTTATCTGCTGCTGAACAGTTTCTACTTTATACCAGGTTTCTTATGCAATTTAGTGGTCAAGATTGTGTAAAACAAAATGAAAGCCTGTTGTCATTAGGTCATCACTTGTCCTCCCTGCTTCATACTGAGATAGATTAACGACAGCCCAACATCAGCTCTGTCCGTAGATGCGATTATTTTGTCATTGAATCACCGTTGCCTTTCGTCGGCTTCACAGTTCGCCCCGTCTCGTTCAGAGGGACAGGTTGAGAACTTTTTATGGTATTCACATTTTCTGAGAAAAAGCCTTCTGTTAGCATTTTCTTCAAGTGTCAGTACATGTAAGAGTTTCAAAACCATGACTCTCAACCTGCATGATCCCCTCAAACAGCTCTGTTATGTATCGTTTTAAGCTATGGATGCAAATGGAACGGCTTACGCAGCACCTTGAGAGTTATTGTTTTATTATTTTTAGACTCAGACAAGCATAGCTAATGGTAACAGGAGGTTGGTGCCAACTTCTCAGGATCAAACTTTAGTGGGATCTCGATTAGCAATCAGTAAGATAAACTTAATGCTCCGCCGTCAACAAAGAAGTCTGATAATGATCACTTAGTTGAAGTTATTGAAAATCACGGACAAGCAAATCCAGACTGTGAAAATAGCCCAAGCTGTGATTATTCTGCATGTGGACTGATTAACTGGCATCTGCGCTTACCTCAATTTAAACGGATAGCATATTTGACCAGGTTTATGGTTGAGTTCTTAATCTGTTGGGGAATACGGGGGATTTTAAAGGCTCCTTAGTAGAGTTAGGCTAGTTATTCTTACCTTGTTTTGTCGTGGCACATTTGGCTTCCAATTAGTGCTTCATATTCACTCGCGGGCTTAGACTCTTCAGGACTTTGGCTAGTTTGTGGGATAGTGCTCTTCTGTGAACATCTTGAGTTCTGATCGGTACATACTTCATTAGAATTTATCACCTTCACTCGATTACTAAATCTGGGTTGTGATCCTTCACAGAGACTTAACTCGCCGCTTAGTAAAGTGTAAGCAAGTGGGGGCTGAAGGCGATCCCCCATTTAGGCTTTATTTTAAAAAAACACTAAAAGGTTGTGTTTGGGTGGAGTCTGGAAACCACTGGCTTTTGTTCACCTCATTGATGATGTTGTTGCTGAATATTAAGCCATGATGACGTGAACTCTGTATAACGTATTGATCTGTGACTGACACTGAAACATAGCTATAACCATCTTTTGGCGCATGCAATCAGGTTTGAGGGAGTTGGGGTGAGTTTCAGTAGGATACCATTGGTAGTGCATTCTGGGTGAATGTGATGTGTACAGTTGGTAGATTTCTGTAGACTTGATTATCACATAACTGCTGTTGACATTACCTTTTAAAGTCAGAATTTTCTAACCTACCATGACCTCCTCTGACCGGTGTTCACTGTATTTGCACAGATTCGGTGCGTTTGAAATGTCATTAAGCAATACGCTCTGAAAATGGTGTGTCCAGGTAATCCACCCTAACGCCATTCTTTTTGTTTTTGTTTATTTTTTTGTTTGTTTTTCATTTTTGTTGTTGTTTTTTTCCCCATTTTGTGTCAATGCAATGTATATTGGACATGATGCTCAATAAAGTGTGTAAACAGAGTGCTTTGTAATGTTGTGTTTTACATTTTTCATGAGGACACACTCTGGGTTCAAGTATATTAGACCTCTGCTCTGTAATTGGAACCCAGTGGGAACTCTCGCGTTTCAGGGCTGGCTTCGTTACACAATAATAGGCTCTGCTGGCTGCAACATGTGCCGAGCGGACAAAGATGCCAGCAACCTCTCCGATATAGGACAGGAAATACTGCTGTGTGTATAACTGAGGATGAGGAAGCGGGTTACATTTGCTGAGAACCTGAAAAAAGAAAACTTGTTCAGAAATGGAAGTGGTCACATGAGGTAACGCTTACACGGAGGTCCTGAAATCCTCGGTGAATTAACATAACTGATGGATTTATGAAGTTTCACAGTGAGACTTGTAATTTGTTGTTTTTAGATCTGCAGGCCCTAAGAGGAGATGCACGGGTGGTGAGTTAGATTTTTCTTATTTACCAGCTGGACATGAACCTTTTGTTAGCGATTTTTTTTAAATTATTATTATTATTTTATTAAATGTTTAATAGAGAGTGCATAAATCAGAGGTTTGTATGTAGTTGATGAGCTGCCAACATAGCTTCTAACATCCAGATGCCATAAACATCTGGATGTAATTTAATGCTGTTGAACTACTTGTGGTAATTTTGTTCTTTTAATGTCATTTTTCTCACTTTTGTTTTCATCCGTTCATCCATTTGACATTTCATCTTTTAGCTTGGCTAAAATGTTTTACACTTTATCCACAAATTTAGCCTAACCAACATTTGTTAATTAACTTTAAACCTTTAATTTTTGCTATTTGTCCTGTTCAAAAATAGTTTTTACAATTTATCCTTAACTTACTAGTGTTAGACTAGTTTGTTCATTTCTTTTAACACCGCTTATCTCTTTGCTTTCTAACTTTTGGTTTTTGTACCTTTTAATAAAGTGACACTTTAGTTAAACCTCTTAAATCAGCCATATCTTGATTACAGTAGATTTTAAATTAAACTGGAATATTTACAAAAAAACGTCATTGTCCAAATACATGTATACATGTATACATCAGTCAAACACAGTATTAAACCCACTAAAAGAAATAACATTTCGATGGCACATGTCATGGCATACAGTCATGAAGAGCTTTCACAGGACGTGTAATGGGGGTGTACTGTGAAAACCCACGATTCAATAGCTTGCTCCTTTAGGAGCAGTAACCCGAAGTCATGATTTCTGTAGGATTTAAGTGTCCCATATCATTGTGGAGGAATTTTACAGCTTCTCTGCACTCTTTACGACTTTGCTTTAGTTCATTGAGATTTGTGGGGATCTCACCATATCATCTCAGTCAGTTTAAGGTCTGGACTTTGACTATTTTGTCACATGCTTGGGATCACAAGCCTGTTTCAGGACTCCAGCCAATCTTAAGCTGCCTGACAGATGGCTTCATATTTGACTTTATAATACCATTGTGTACAGAGGACTTCAGACAATTTCCTGTCATAAACACAGCATTTTTTCCTGACATGTTGCTTTTTGGTAGGCTTTGAATGTCTACCTGGTCAGCAGGTGAGAGAAATCTACAGAGGACAACACACAAAGATGCCTGCAGGTGGCCAACACTTGAAAACGATACATCCTCCAAAATCTATGATGTCTGCCCCTTTCTTACAGGTAACCTCACAAAGCTGGAACAGGTAGCTTTTGGGTTTGGTTTTTTTTTTTTGTTTTTTTTTTACCATCAAGGGCTAAAGAACCTCTCCAGGGGAAAAAATATGGTGTTTTTTCTTTTTGCGATCCTTTACTACATGTCGTTCACTATGCTCACTCTCCCTCCACCTCTTTCCTATCTATCAGTGTTGCACTTTCGAAAAAAGGTTAAAACTGCCCCTAAAATGATATTTATTACTATATGTTAGTTGTGAGTTTTTCTAAAGTAACAAACCTAAGAAACTAAACTGATAAATTTAAATCCACCGAGAACTTGACTCATTTGACAGTAGTGACAGATTTTTATTAGCTGTTTGATAGTTTCTTCAATTGAAAGGCCAGCTAGTTTCTTTAGCAGAGCAGGCACAGGTGAAGATATGACCTGAGCTGACAACAAGTAATATTTGCTGGAAAGCTTTTGTTGCAATACAGTATCATCTTAATATGTTTTACATTGTGTTCCTTTTTACAGAAAAGCACTGGGGTTAGGGTTAGAGCACACACACCTAAAACACACATTGCTGCAGTGGGGACAGCCACTCTCCCTCCCTCCATGTAACGGGAGAACTAATGAGTGAGTGGGGTCTGGTTTGCTTTTAGCTGCAGAGGGAGCATGGTGGCAGAATGCAGGCATGCGATGGAGGGCTAAAACCCACATACAAAGTGAAGTAAAAGTTACCAGTTTTTAAGGCACAAAGAGTGTTTTCTAAATATGTAATCCCTGGTGAATAGAAGTCATTCTGTACGGGTTTAATTCATGCCAGGAGAGGAACTTGATTTTCTCATTTAAAGCATATTTAAGGCATCTCGTATATATAACGACCTTACTGTCCTTCTGCCATGTGTAATCACATCTGTTCTTGTCTCAGGAGCCAGCTTTTACAGGAGGACGCACACCCTACCTCTACAGTATAGCAAGCATCTACAGTACAGAGCACATGAGACTGCAAATGAAGCAGCACTATCTCAATGTCCTGCACGCATGCATTCAGTCAGGTCTGTATCTGAATTCATTCTGAATGCAGTGAAAGTTTGTCTCACACATAAACTGACCAGCACAGTCCAACGCATCCTGTGTTTTGGATCGCCCAGGTCATGATGAGACCCGCAGGAGAATGCATGGAGATCATCATTGCAAAGAAAAGAGCATGTTTAAAACTGATCCAGAGAAGAGCAATGCAGCAGCAAATAAGCAACAGAGGCAAAGGAGAAGCAGCGACAGAGCTTATTCTGATGTCACACTTCCAAAAATAGTCAACAGATGATATATATGTATTTATTATGATTTATAAATAGGTTGTTGTAGGAAAAGTCTTACATTCATACACATGCTAATATCCAAAATACATCAATAAATGTAGCATATCTGTTATTAAGGCAGGTGAGACTTGTGTTGTTTGCATGTTCTCTTTGGGGACTTCATCTTCCTCCCACAGTCCAAACATACTAGGTTGGTTAATGTTGTCTGTCTCTGTATTTATTTATTTAAAAATGATTATAGTTTCTAATTATTTTTTTTTTAATTTTTATTTCATTTGAACTTGTTTTTGCTTTTAATTTAATTTCAGTTAGTTTCCATTGTGAGTTTAGATGTTATTGTTTGAAATGTTTAGTTTGTTAAGATTATCTTGGTTTTAGTCTTTAATTATTATTAGGAAAATGTAGGAATATGTAAGAGGTAAGATTTAGGAAAATCATTATAGGTATTACAAAAAACAAACATATTGCTTGAAAACGTGTATTTTGGTCACATGTAAGAGGAAAGATTTGGGAAACTCAATAAAATCTTGATAAATGTCCACCAAAGCCTTGTAAGATAATTTAAAACAAAAAACAAAGAAACTTTTACCAGACTAACAGGATATATTCAGGATATATTCTCTGCATTTTTAATGTTAATTAATGTTAATTCAGTAAGTTTTACCTATAAAAACTAAAACTACATAGTTTGAGTTTTTATAGGTAAAACGACTTAAGTTAACTAGGTATTTTTAGTTCCCTTAACCAGTTTATTTTCCTTTAACCAGTTGATTAGTTTTAGTTAACTATAATAACCTTGGTAATGAGCCTGTGACCGTAGAATCACTGTGATTAGCCGTGACAGGCCCGTGTCTGACATAGCAAACCATGAACTGCGTCCTGGAAGGAAACTCTATAAAAGGTAATATAAAGAACACTCGAAGAAGATGCGAACTGAAATTTGCTGTAAAAATAACATATTTAATTCTATAATAATTCTATTGATGAAAGTTGTTCAAGCTACGAAATTGTTCATTTGGAACGAACAACGGGACTAGCTTATCTGATGTAGCTAAACTGGCTAATAATGAGTTAGCTTTAGGGGGTCATGACCCCTAACATTTTCAAACAGAAAAGTGCACTTTTCTGTCTGAAAATGTTTCGTTTCATGGTATTAAGAGAAAGAAATATTAAGGTTATAGTAAAATAATACAGTATAGTAAATAACAATATTGTGTCAAACTTGAACTGTGGAGGGGCTGTGTTGTGTTTCAGCATTTGGGAAGGCTATTCATGCCCTGTCCCGGGTTGGAGATGAGCTGTGGTTCGATCCAACGGTCAAGGGGGTGAGCAGCAACAGCAGCTAGATGTAAAAATGCTCATTGACGCTTTATTAGGTACACTTTGAGTATTTGCCAAGTTTAAAAAAAATTAATGCTATTAAACTGTTGTAAATGGCTTGCTGTCCTATAATCTGTCAAAAACGATTGAATAATATCAAGTCACCACATGCCAAAGAAGCTCTATTGGATCGAGTTGTGGTTGAACATTTTCATGTTCTCAGGTAGGCTTTAGCATTTAAACCATGCTTATTTAGTACTCAGGGGCCTAGAAAATATCCCTTACACCATTACACCACCACCATCAACCTGGATTGTTGACAGACGCCAGGAGGGAGCCATGCTTTCATGCTAATTTATGCTGACCCCACCATGTGAATATTGCAGCAGATATCTAGACTCATCAGACCAGCCAACATTTTGTAAACACTACAGATTGTTGTTAGAAAATCACAGTAGACCAGCACATTTGGTATTAACAAGCATGCAACCTTGAAAGTCACTTCAATCCTCCATTCTGATGATTGGTTTGAACTTCAGCATGGCATTGTTGTCATGTGATTTGCTAATTAGATATTTGTGTTAATGAGCAGTTAAACAGGTGCAACTAATAAAGTGACCAGTGTGTGTGTACAAGAGCGTCTGTATCGATAATCTCCAGGTGTTAAGGTATTCACCACCTTACTTCCTCCACAATAATTTCTCTCTCTCCCTCTGAAAGCTGGCCCTGAGATCAGTGAATTCTGCTCATTCTGCATACGCCTGCTTCCTCTTCTCGCCGCTCTTCTTCCAGCAGTACAATCTGGATTCAGTCAGGGAGCAGGACAGTGGACCAATCAAATGCAAGCTAGTCATGAAGGTATATCGGCATTGCTGGTTTTTCATTTGTAGGCAGAAACATCATCTTAACAAGTGACTGTTCAGTAAAATTAGGGCTACACATCATGCCGTTCTTTCAAGACTTTATGATTAAACTGCGTCTCTTTGTTTTAAAGTGTGTGCTGCCGCTTTTCCGTTGTTCGACTTCTATTGAGCACAGTGTGAAACGGTGTCAGATATCAGTCAGCACTGGCAGTGACCAAGTGATTGTTCAGTTTTTCTGCAGACACGGTAGGAAACTGCATAAATGACAGTAGGTGTGCATGCAGTTTATATTTTGAACACATGGTGGCACTGTGCTCTAAGTGTCTCTGTTTTTGAGTTAGGCATAACAAAAACCTACAATGTGCGTTTCCTGGAAAGTGAGGCGCTGCAGGCAGTGTTTGCTTCACACCTCTGTCCCAATGTGCTGAAATCTCCTGCCAGGTTAGCATTTCAGCATTAGAGCCTCACTCTTCTTTTCTACAATCAGTACATGCTGGCTGCCTGTTGGTTTTGTGTTTTAGACAATACCAAAAATATATATTGACAGAAAAAAAATGTTAAAAGTAAGCAGCCAGAGCTGCCTGTGTGTGTTTTCCTCTTTCTTCAGGCTTCTAGGCGATATGGTGATGCATTTCCACGCGTCTCAGGAAGAAGTCACTCTGTCGATGTCAGCCCCGAAAGTCAGTCTGAGAAATTACAACGAGGGGAGAAATGGTCAGTTAATGTCAGACTGCCATTTAGCTCAGCCCACGTGTGGCTGACACGTTTCACAAAGTGCTTGAAAGTTGCACAAGCTTTGAGATGAACATAAAACTTCCTAACATACTGCATGTTCAGTTCTTTAAGCACATCAAAGGAAGCACTGTAACGACTGCTGTTTGACTTGGATGTACCTGTGTGACAGATCACATGAAGATGATGCACACTGAGATGTCCTTACACCCAGACGAGTTTGACTACTTTCAAGCCGGAATGGACTCAGACATAACCTTCTGTCTGAAGGAGCTAAGGGTAACGGGGTTATTTTTGGAGGCCTCCTTGCTCCTGTCACATGAGAATATTATGTGTGCGGAGAGTGAGAGTGACACTAGCTCACATGTGGGCAATTCATGTCTAAGAGGTCATATTGCTGTCCTGTACTCGGTGCTCGGTATCATTTCCATGTGAACTTTCCCCTCAGTGCTGTGACTCATCTTTATAGCAAAGATGTCTTGACCCGAGTGAGGCTCCACTACGTAGAAAAAGTAACTGAAGTTGAAGGCTCCTCATCGCATGCTTTATTATAAACTTTAAAACCAAGTAGGAATGAGTGTGGACTTTATGGGCTGCTTAAAGGTTGATCTTCAGCTATTTATAATTTGATTAGCAGAAAAAGCTGAGAGAAGTGTAATGTATAGACTAGTGTGGTCAGTAAAGCAAAATCACTGGGCTTATAGAAAAACGAGACAGTTTTGTTGGATATTTGAAATAACAGTCTGTGTACGTTCAGTTAATGAGACTTGGCCTGCATTAATGCCTACAACTCTTCACACTAATGTCTTGGAAAGTCACTTGGGCTTCCCGCTGTGAGGCTCCTCGTTAGCCCGCCTAGTCATCTTGTTCCTGTCGGTTTTGGAAAATCGGGTTTGGACGGATTAGAAACTAGGCTTTAAGTTTTAGTCTTAGCCTTAATTTGATGTATATCTCCAGGCTGATAATAGTTAAACATGTCACAATATTAGCCCACACTTTTCAGCAATTAAACTCAGTTGTTGCTTTTTTGTTTTTGCCAGGGGTTACTGTGTTTTGCGGAGTCACATTGCCTTCCGGTGTCGGTTCACTTTGGCACTCCAGGAAAGTACGTTTCCTTCCTACTGTCATGACCTTGAGTGGAATTTATTCACTCAAATTACACAGGCTCTGTGGTGCTGTTCAACAAATTAACACCAGCTAGACTGCAAAATTCTTTAACGTTTATATATCACTAGTCACATCACTAAGTGAGCAGTTGTGGTGTGTTTGCTGCTAAAAAGTAAAAGGTGCTGACAAATAAATAAAAAAAAGAAGACACAGTGAAGGGATTTCTGCCATGGAAACGCACTTTGTTTGCAGGCCTGTGTGCTTCTCTGTGGAGGACATGGTCCTTGAGGCCACTGTGGTGCTGGCTACGCTGGCTGACTTTGAAAGCAGAGGCCCCTCACAGCCTACAGAGACCCCAGCCCCGACTACACACAGGTAACGACCACCCCTGACTTCACTGGCAATACTTTTAATCATCAGTGCCTGGGGGGAAAGAAGGTCAATTACTGCAGCTATTTTTTAAAATTAATTTGAGCAAAATAAAAAACCTGAGAAAAATCACAGAACATAAAAGGAATTCATCTCAATGAAAACACAATAGACCACACAATCTAGTTAGAAAACAAGTCATTGCCAGATAAAAATGCTTAAAAAAAAGATCAAAATCATTCAAAAAACTGTCATAAACAAAAAATCTGCTAAATACTGCAACAGATAAATCATGCAGATTAACTTTCTACATAGTCCAGATATTTTATGACATAGAGAAAGGGTCCTCGGGCCTTTTTGAACAGCCTGTTTGTTTGTTTGTTTTTTAGTGGAGTTTGATGTCATTTGTCTTACCCAGTCTATAATATCTGATAGCTTGAGCTTCCATTTACATTTTTAAGCTATTAGCCTAAAAGTTTGTTTGTAATTATGCCCCTAGATGGCAATCAATTAGAATCTGCACTCATCGGACACTTTATAGAAAACCGTTTTGCCTTCAGAAATATTCCTTAGCTATTTTAGTCCACACTGACATGACAGCATCACATAGTTGCTGCAGGTGTCTTGGCTGCATGTCCATGATGTGAAACTCCTGTTCCACCACATCCCAAAGATGCTCTGTCTTACTGAAGACTGGTGACTGTGGAGCCCATTTGAATTCAGTGTCTCATTCAGGAAAGCAGTTTGAGATTATGAGAGCTTTGTGAGATGGTACGATACCTGCTAGAAGCATGTCAGAAGATGGAGATGTACACTGTGGTCATAAAGGGATGGACGTGGCCTGCAACTATAGTGTGGCCTATGATGCTCAGTTTGACTAAGATCCCCAATGTTTGCCAAGAAAATATCCCCCACACCTTTACAACACCATTACCAACTCAAACTATTGAAACAAGGCAGGAGGACATGCTTTCATGTTGTTTATTTTAAATTGTGGTCCTGCCATCTGAATGTTGCAGCACTTCTTAAATCATCAACATTTTTCAGTATTCTGTTGTTCAATATTTGTGAGTCAGCATGAATTGGATTGTCAGTTTCCTGTTTTTAGCAGACAGGAGTGCCACTTATTGTGGTCTTCTGCTCATGTAGGTTATTTGAATTACTGTTGACTTTCTATCAGCTTGAAGCAGTGATACATCCATCCATATATCTTGTATACGATTATTATTCTAACGATTTAAATTGGCAGGAGTTACATGGGTTAAGGAATTATGGCGTGTGAGGAGTGTATTTTATCATTATGTTGACCAGCTGGTGTCATTGTCGCAGTCTTTGTGCGTCCAGTTTGTCAGGTCTACAATCCAGTGTGCTGAAGAGCAGAACTACCTGAGCCTCTCTCCTGGCACTCAGTCAAGCTGGTTTGCCCTCATTGGCTGTTTTTAGCCTCTTAAGAGGCATCATGTTGCAGTAGCCAGCCTTGTGTCTGTAACGGAGATAAATAGGGCAAGGTCAGGGCACGCAGAGTTGGGTTAGAAGCCCGTCAGTGTGACAGTCTATAATCCCCTCCTCCACGCTATGCTAGCCAGAGTCTCTGTCCTGCTTTGCTAGCCTGCTCTCTCCCCATTGTCCTCTACTTGTGCGTCTAGTTGGATCTTATTACACCATTCCCAGCTGCACTGCTCAACATCTGGGTCATTTGTAGCTCGTTTTGCTTGTGTACACTGCTGGAAGTCTGCAGAGACATCACCAACCCCATGATTCGACCCTCTGCAGTGCTCCTGTCCCTAATGCTCAGAATTGATCTGCATTTTAATACTTTTTTTTCCTGATGAAATTTATCATGCAGGATATTTCTGACTATATGCAATGTATTTGTGTTTTTCATGGTATGATAAGTACAATACTTGCTTGCCTGCAGACTCTGGGGCCTTTAGAAGCCTCTTTACTCCTTCCTGCTGTGCTCCTAATTATGTGTCTGGGTTACGTCTGAGGTTGACGTGTCGTGTGGTTGCATGCACGAGGTTGTTGTTTTGTTCCCTTTTACCGTGCTTAAGGCTGCTTTCACCATCTGCTGATACAATGCTAGGTAGTGTTTTTGTAAAAGCAAATAACAATGTTTTTAATATTTATATGGATTGGAAGCTACTACACAACATCCTCATTTGTAAAACTAGTAGATATGTTTATCAATACTGTCTGAATATATGTGTGTAAAAACACTCTGAATCTGTGTTGAGAAACAAATTTGCACCCATGTACCTGCGTCATCTACAGCTTGCAGACACAAGTGTGTTCTGTCTGTTCCCAGCTGTGCAGATGCAGCTGCTCTGCCTGTGGGTATACATGAGACTCAGAGCAACAACCTCCAAGTTCTTCCTGATGTAACAGAGCTTGTTGAATCCAGCCAAGGCAGCCCTATAACCTACCCACCTGTTCTGATGCAACTCCAATGCCAGGGCGACAGTGCTTGTGCTGGAATGACCCCACCTTCCAGCATGGTAATAAGAGCTCGCTCTTGATTTTTAAATCTTAACTGGGATCTGCAGATGGCCTGTGTGTTCCTTGTGGTTTGGATGCTCTACAGTCTTTCTGAGAAGTATGGTTCAGGGTGTGCTGCAATGGTTTACAATATCAGCTGAGACATGTCTTATGTTCTTTGTCACCTTTTTAGATTTAAAGACTTTTGCTGGAATCCCAGTTGAACCCCAAACCTTTTATCAAATGTCTTCTGTGCAACTTTCCCTGTTAACACAGGTTTATTGCTTAATAGTGTTTAAATTTAAGACTCTGATGAGCCTTCAGGTCATCCTCCAAGCTGCAGACTGCACTGTGAGGACACCTCCGGTGCAGGCCCGACTCAAGACAGGAAGCGTTGCCAAAATAAAGCATGCTAGTCGAAACTCCACCATCCAAAAAATATTTCAAATGCACAAGAAGATTATGAAGGCAGATGTGCAGCACTAAGTGAACTTAAATTTTTGCCTGTGTGCATGTGAAATAACTGACTGCTCCAATACTGTTCTGCATATCAGTTCTGTAGCATGTCATTATTTTGAGCAGATTAATTGTAATGATTTATCATAGAAATATATTTAGAAAAATCCCCCGCTCGCCCCTGCGGGCGGTCAATCCTTCAAGCTCGGGTCCTCTACCAGACGCCTGGGAGCTTGAGGGTCCTGCACAGTATCTTAGCTGTTCTACTCAAGATCTTGAGCCAGTCTCCCTGTGGACACTGTTTTTAAGTGACCCTCATGCAGCGTCCTCTGTTGTACTAAGATTTAACATAGAAATTGACAGGTGGTCAGAGCAAATGCACAAGTGCTGTAAATCTAAAATGAGAAAAAAAAAATGGCAGAATGTTCTTGAATGAACTGCATACACTCATGTTTGGCTATTTGTATCCTGTAGATCTGCTCCCTGCTGTTCGAGGCCATGTCCTCAGAACCTGGTGATGATGATGGTGCTCCCAGACTACCTGTCCTGGCATATTTCAGTGATGAGGAAGACTATCCGAGAAGCCCGTCACTCTGAGGGAATAGCAGTCGCTAATTAACAATATTCTTCTGTAAATAGTTATCAAAGTGTTAATCTCTCCAGAATAGTTTTTATTAAATATTGTTTATTGTTAATGTTTTTTTTTCCAGTTACTGTTCATTTGAACAATATACCATCCATGTTGTCTGTCAATAAAAATGTGCCATCTCGGGAAGATGCCACACCCATCTGATGGTAACTGGCATGCATTGTGTCTGAGGAATGTGGTAGCACAAACAAAATATACAAAGTGTTCCCAGACTGTAGAGCAGTGAGCCAAATGTCCATGTTCATGTGAACAAAACGCAGCTGCAGTGTTCAATACACATCAGAGCCATGAAATACAGCAGGTTAATAAATATTATAGTCTTTATTTAAACATTGTACACATGTGAAAATGTTTTTGTTTCTCCCACATAGACATGTTCTGGTTTAAACAGAAAGATGAGGCGGATGAGAAGGAGTCATCCAGGGAGGTGTGAAACAGGAAGCAGGGACCATGGAGCTTACAGTGGTAGTGCCAAATGACTGGGAGAAGTGCTTTATCATTTTTGTTAAGGCTGCTTGGATTGTCCTCAGTGCTGTAACACTTACCGGTAGAAAAAAAATAAATCACATTTTGCCAACTAACACTGTTCACCGCCCTGAATCTGTTCTCATTTCAACATGACACCTGACAGGGTGTCACATTAAGGAAACGATCCTTTCGATTAGTGCAGATTGTAAACAGTGATCTAAAGATCCATGGGAAGGATTTTCTAAGTGTGGGATGGCTTTAGTACTATTCCTGATTGAGTGCAGAGAGGAAGCAGATTTCAGGAGAAAGGGGGAGGGGGGATAAAAAACAACAACAACAAAACACTGGGGTTAAAATGATGGTGTAAAGACAGCAGAGCATGATGGGAAAGCTCATTTTTCCAACTCTTATGGCTACTTAACAGTTTAATGCTTTGTGCTCAGTGCTGGCACATTTTTAGGGGGAAGGTTGAAGACTTATTTGCCAGTATCAATGACACATGATACAAGGCACATTGTAATATTACACAAAAATGTGGATTTTACCGTGAAACCTTCCTGTAGTGACGCAAAGAAACATACTGACCATTTTTCACATGAAACCTGCAGTGACATGACTTAAGAATGCGCCACTGAAGCTCTACAAGCAGGGGGAGAGGAGGGAGGGAGAGAGACAGGAAAAGCAAATGGTGACTGTGAACAAGAGTTTCTGTAAGCTACTTGACGCGGCGAACAATCCCCACGGAACAAAGAGGTTACAAAAATACATTTGGTCACCTGACCAATTTCCGCTGCGTTGAACTTTTTCAGATATGCTCCTTAAGCTTTGTGCGTTTAAGGCTGCGAGACCAATTCAGACCAGCGGATATGGAGAAGTCTCTAGCCTACACATCCATTTCATTGACACCGATTGCACATTACTCAATAGACACACACTGAGGAGCTCATGTGCATTCATCACCCATTCATACACACATCACACATAATCACAATCAAGACTTCAGCAGCAGCTGTGAGATTAAAGGGAGGACATCAGTTTGACACTATCATTTATACTATACATATATTTATCTTGAGAGGCTTTTGAGCTACAAAATACTCTTAAGTTACAAAATATGTGCAATACTTGAACTGGTATGGAAAAGGCAGCTGCCACTCTTTATGAAATCTTGTTGGATTATCCTGCCACAAGAAACAAACCATCTGTGTAAACCCATGTCACATCACACTTGTTTTGTTTCTGTTTTTGCAAACATTTAATGTAACATCCCAGAACAGCATACCATTCATATCAAACATATGCTCCCTGCCCTTTCGTACAAGTTTCCAGTCCCTTTCATAAAGGCTTCCTAAGTACCACTGTATTATTAAGTGCTTGCACAAGACGGACCCATTTATTGAGCCTTAATGCTGCCATTTCTCATGCGCTTCCCTTCTTGAGGACTGTTTAGTTCTGTTCGGCAGGCCAGTACGTGGCCACATTCACATGCTAACACACACTCTTGGGCTATGTCAGCATCCGTCTTCTCTGAATTGCAGCTTCTTTCCTGCGGCAACTATCAGAAGAGGCTGACTTATCCTCATCAGCATGCCCAATGATCCCAGCCAATGGGATTATCTGGTGAGCATTGGAACACTGCAGCCCGGCCAACAGGGTGTCTGGCCTTTAGTTGGATTTATCTGGCCACTGTCTGATGTAGAAAACGACAGAGAAAAGGGCATGTTGAAGGATTTCTTTTGTTTGTTTTTAAATGTGTGGGGTTGGCCAAGTGGGGGAGACGGTGGGTGGATGAGGCAGAGTAGATCCTTTAGGTGTGGGGGAAGCAGACATTAGCTGTACATCCTGGCCAGCAGGAATCAAAGCAGTCCATCACCTGCAGCGGCAGATGGATACTCCGTGCAGACTCTAGTCAGTGTACTCAGCGACTATGGAGAGCAGTACTGTGATGTCATCTGGTTTTCCTCCTGCATGGACAGGAAACAGCAGCCAGTTAGGTTTGTTGCTTGAAAAACACGTTTGTAACCGTTCAAATTACAAAAAAATACTCATCTTTTTTGTAATACTTGGACACTTACCTCTTACATTCAGTCCATTGTCACAGGCAAACTGTGCGAAAGGTGACATGTAGTTGGGGTCATAGGCCAACACATGGGCCTGCTCTGCGATGCTGCGGGCCGTCTGCTGAATGCTCTCATAGTTTGTGTTCTGACGAACCAAACAAAGCAGGCATTAGGCGTTTATCGTGCCCTTTTCCGATTCTACGGCAGACATGTTTGTCACTCACTTTGAGTTTCTTCAGCTCTTGCAGTATCATGTAGTCTGGCATGTTGTCAAAGAGCCCATCAGTGGCAGTGAGGATGATGTCGCCCAGTTGTACGTCAAAGGAGGTGCTGTCTGCAGCGTCAGGGCTGAGGGACAGACACAGGTGAGTTTCAGGTAAGAGACAGGTGCAGTAATTTTTGTCATTAAACATACCGACTGAGCTTAGCAACAGAAACTTGGTTGCTAATGGATAATGAAAAGTTCAGGTAATCATCACATGAGGTTTTTTTTGTTTTGTTTGTTTTCTTGGAAAGGACAGTTGGGTCCAAGAAAAGGTGCTGCCATTATGAAGGTGCTTCAAATACACAGAGGCAGGAACCAAGTTAGTTTGCCAGTGTCGGGTTCAGTTCCTGGAAGATGTCCTTACCCCCTAAATCCAGTCAAGAATGTGATTCATTACAAACTGTCTGGACTGCATCACGACACAGTGAGCCAAAGCTCCCAGGAACAGCCTGTCCTGTGCTCTAATTTTTAATGTATTTTTTTATGAAGCCAAAACTACAGTCACATGGGGAGAAAAAAGCTGCTGTAGCGGCTGTTCTCGCAGCTAGTTAGCACTATGATGGCACAGCCACACTTACCAGAGCTGTTCCTCATTCTTTGTTATCTGTGCACACTGGGTGATTCATCATTAACATATTCATAAGCCAAAGACATTTGTGACACTTGATAATTACACAGCCAGTATAGTTATGAAGATAATCATTGGGCAAGAAGGCAAAAATCTGTGGGCTTATAGCTACACTGCAAAAATGGCTAGTCTATATTTAGGAAAAAAATACTACATTTGATACAAAAAGCACTGAAAACAAGTGAAATTATCTGTCCATGCAGCAAGTTTATTTTACTTAATAAGAAATCTTGAAATAAGATTTTTTAATCCAGAAATAAAAGAACACATTTGAGAATTGAAGAGGGTTAAAATAAGCTTTAAAGAGCTCAATTTAAGATAAAATTACTTGATATCAAGTCCCAAATATTAGTTAAATATGCTAAATTACAGTCTTTTTTTATGTTTTGAATTCTTACTTGCAGCAAATGAATGCACTGCAACGAGAAAAATAGTTCTAATACTATGAAAAACTACTCAATATTAGTGAAATATGATTAATTTGTTTCTTGATTCAGGTTGGCTTATCTTAAAATAGAGCCGAATCAATATTAAATCCAGGCAAAAAAAACCTTAAAACAGACCTTTTTCCTACTCCTTGGCTTCTACTGAAATCACAACCAGGACAAGAGTGATATGCCAACATTTATTTCTCTCATGAGAACAAAATCCTTTTTTTTAAACAAAATAGGGCTGCTGCACAATCCCTAAAAGTCTAAATCAACCCTTTAAAAGGCCTAAACACAGAAAAAAAATTACAGTTTTGGCCTTAAACTTTTGTGACAGTCACATAGTCTCACAATGTTATAAATAATGGCATTACTGACTTAAAACTTTACATGCCTCAGGTAAAGTGTCACTAAGAAAAAAAAACAACAACTTTCATTTGTAAAGCATCTTAAGTAAAGCCGTTTCTCAGGACATTGCTAGGCAAATTAGGAACAAAGTTGTACAAACGTACTACAAAACTAAACAAACTGCAAATGACCTGATAAAATCCTGCTTGGTATTCACCTATTTTTCAAAGAACGACTTCCACTCAGCTATTGCTTTCTTATATGCACTAGTGGCATCTTGATCATGGATGGCATCAGTGATTACCTCAGTTTGTATGACAGAGAGGACCGTTGCAACACATTTTGGGTATGTTAAGTGCAAGGTGTAGTAATATGCCATCAACACCAACATTCCTTCCCAGAAATCCTCCAAGGGGAGAGTGGTCACTGGTATGTTTCCTACAGCAACAATGCTGGTTGTTCCATCAAAAAGCAGCACTGGGGAGGAGAGAGGCCGCTTCTCCAGGTATAGCATTGCATCTTCACCTGGCTAGAAGAAGCACAAAAAAAGGACAAATTCTTCAAGATTTTAAATGAAAGGGTTGCTGTGCATCCAAACAGCTTAAGACACAAATAGCAATATCAAGAGTTTAGAATGCTCCAAATGATTTACTGTTGGAATAGAAGAAATAAATATAAAATATCTGACTTACATAAATATGAAATTTTGGAAATGTATTAATTCTGAGCATGAATTTTCTCTAGTTTGCAGCATTTTTATCATGTATATTTGTGCTTTTTTCTCATTTGATTTTTAAAACTATTTCTTTTAACTTTGTTACATATTCTAGTTCTTGAAGGCCTTTATAAATATATGATTTTACTGCTTCTACTTGTATCCTAACTGTAATGTGCTTTTGCTCTGCGCTGCCTCTCTGGAGTAGGTTTTGAATAACAATTAAGAAATCCTGAAT